CCCCCCCCCCCCCCCCCCCCCCCCCCCCCCCCCCCCCCCCCCCCCCCCCCCCCCCCCCCCCCCCCCCCCCCCCCCCCCCCCCCCCCCCCCCCCCCCCCCCCCCCCCCCCCCCCCCCCCACAGACCCCCCCCCCCCCCCCCTCCCCCCCCCCCCCCCCCCCCCCCCCCCCCCCCCCCCCCCCCCCCCCCCCCCCCCCCCCCCCCCCCCCCCCCCCCCCCCCCCCCCCCCCCCCCCCCCCCCCCCCCCCCCCCGCCCCCCCCCCCCCCCCCCCCCCCCCCCCCCCCCCCCCCCCCCCCCCCCCCCCCCCCCCCCCCCCCCGTGCTTAGTTGAAATGCTTTCTATGCGTTTTTTATTCGAGGTGTGTACACAAAGACCACAATGAAGAAATGGACTTGATATCTTTTTACATAAATTTCTGAGGAATTTCGATTAATGTTTCAGAACATGGGCGTCGTAACTGAGATAAGATAAGTTGCCTGTAATACGATACTGTTAAGAAATGAAGGAAGCATAACACTTCAAGATGCATTACATACCTAAATCAACATCACAGATGGTGAAAAACTTGTGACTTTCTGGTATGTGCCCTGTTTGGCAGTATAATACCCTTCAAAACCAAATAAAAATATGGCCTGAAGTTAACCGTTGCAATGCGTCATTACCAACCTAGATATAAAACCTTTAATGTTGCCCGCGTAGCACAGTCGTCAGGCAAGCCCAAACCTCGTGAAATTTAAATCAAAGAAGGGTTGTTTAAATATGGTGAAATTTGTAAAAGAAAAGGGAGGAACATAATAACTGACAACTTTCACTAGCCCAGAGACCTAAACCTAGCAAAACTATCTTAAAAAATAGACATTACAATGCCAGAATTGTAGAGAGAGAGAGAGATGTCTATCGTCATATGATTGTCACTTTGTTTTCCTTTTGCATTCCGCTGTAATGACTTTGATTACCTTCTTAAGATAAATATAGAAATTAGTTTAGGTCCAGAATAGTTTGTGATCATCAATTTCTTTATATAAGTTTAGGTAATACTTAAAACTTTGAAATATAATCAGTTATTAAAGATTAGGTTTTGAAAAACAGCAAAAGAAACAGAGAAAGTGTGTCGAAGCAATTTCGAGAATTTTTTGAAGAAAGGAGAATCAAATGGATAGCAGAAAATACAAATGATGAAATTACACATATTTCAGGCAATTAATATGCAAAGATTATATGGTGAAGAGTACAAAGATTATGCTATCAAAACTATGTAGAATGTTACAACCAAAATTATTCAGAAAAAAATTGTGTACACGTGTGTTTAATCCAATCGAAATTGACGAATCACGCTGCTAATTCAGCTTGTACATCATCCACTTCAATTACTTCCACGGAATGCCAAGACGTGAAAAGCTCAACTTCCTACAACGTTAATAATTGTGTTTTTAATAAATCTTCTTGAATGAGCTTTGTTATTATTGTTTTTGAAAGTTGATTACCATAAAATGGAAACATATTTGAAATCATTTTCCGCATTAAACTGTTATTCATATTTTACTTGATTAGAAGTAATTCTAGGAGGCAGCGATAATATTAAGAATTAATAATAAAAATAAAAATAATATAATAATAATAATTATTATTATAGAAGAAACGAACGTCATTTTTTTCTGTTGAAATGCTTTTGATATAAGTAATTCATGCCAGAACGTATAGGCGTTCTGCTACTTTTACCAGAACTCGCAACCTGCTAATAACAGTAAGTATTTAAAACATCAGTATTTAATAGCGTTTTATTTATAATGACTTTAGAAATTCAAAAATACTACATTAGTGAGACCATTAGTAATTTGGGACAAATTCAGAATAAAAAGTAAAATTTGGTGAACTTTTAATAGTAAATAAAAGTGAAATCTAAAATATCATAGCTCTATTTTACTATTTGCTTGAAAAAAATAATTTGTAAAGCAAATTTAGAGAGACTTTTATGACATTTAAAATTGCACATAACTATTTTTGCGCTAAGATCATCCATTACTTAGTTTTTAAACAATTTTTGTTTTTAACCATTTGTTACGAAGTATTTCAAGGTGGAAAACTCAGGGTTTTCTTACCAATAATAATATGAAGAAAATAAAAAAATGAAATCTACCTCACCTTTTGAAAGGAGAACCCCCTTTTGGATCCCCATCGACTGTTCTATAACACCATAGTTGTTTAATATTTCCCATTTACTCCTCCCTTGCATGCATGGCCATTACCTATTATTATTTTAATTGAAAATTTATTCAGTTCTATTCCAAATCTTGATCTACTTACATTAATGAGATTGATATTTCCCATTTAATATCTTTATTGTCGGTCCGGGAGTCGCAAGATGCAAACCTTTCGGCCATCAAGCTGCAACCCTCCTCAGCATTTCGCCTTGGGGAATGTCGCAGATGACTGCCACACCTCCCGAGACGCGACGTCTCCCGAGTAGCCCAGTTGATGCCGAATTTACTATTTTCTTAAGTCGTTATTTTTGTTTTCAGGGTGTTTAAGGAAGGTAGAAGAAAACGAATTAAAGCTTATGTTTCTTCTCTCAAAAGCTTCAACCTTATCTGCAAGTTACCATTTTGGGTAAGAACTACAGCCATCATGCATGCTTCAAGAGAAATAAACCATCTAGTCCAGACCTGTCCAACTGGCCTCCGAAGAGTCTGAGTGCCCACGTGCCTGGGCTGCGATCTGAGAGGGGGGTTATCACGGGGAGAGGGACATTTTTGGCGGGAAGGGAAAAGAATGCAGTGGAGTGGCCTTCAGAAGGTTTGGGTGCGCGTCTTGCTTCATGGACGTGCTTCCTTTTTCAGTGAAAGAAAACCGCAAATTATGCTCAATACACTATTGGTTTTTCATAATATAGTTAGTAACTTATACAACATTTGAATATCAAGTTACGGGTTAACAAAGAAATGCAAAGTTCATATTGAAATAGTTGATCATGAGAAAATGGTCTAGCCGCATAAAAATTAAATAAGCGAAATAAAACGTTTGAACAATGATTTTGATCAAAAATAATTTTACAATTGGTTCCTGCCAAACTCAACTACGAAACCTGTCAAAACATTGTTTTTAACGTTGTACTAACGGTTAATACTACAAAACGTAATATTTTTTCTCAAAATTTAACATAAATTAAAATAATATATTTTCCATGATAAAAGTTTCCGAAATTTCTTGCATTCTAAATTGAGAAGCATATCAGCCTGCAAATATTGTGCTTCTCACAGCAAGTTATTAAATTAATTTGACCATGTCCACAGCAAAAGAATATACAAGAAGTTCAAAATTATTATCCATGGTTCTAAAAATTACCGAACCTACAGATAACACATTGGTTTCTAATTCTGTTCGTACCGTTGTTCTTGTTTGCACACACTTCCCATACGAAGACTGGAAACAGAAAGATAATTCGTGTAGTGCCTGTGCCATGCATTTAGGAGGCGATGGCTGTATGCGTTCCCCGCCCAAAGTAATTTTCCCTAGCGGGGAGTGACTCCCATCTGCTCCCTGTCAGCACTGCTCACGGACGAATTCCCGAAGCCCTGAGAAGCGACGTGGGTCTTGGTGGCTCCGAAATACTGTTTCGTTAAAAATCGAGAGCCGTTGAATCGTAATCGAAAGAATCATTTCTCTTAGACTGATTTTGATCAAACACTTTCATTCTTGCAACTTGTGACGTTTTAGTAGTAATGACGTGTCTTCATGTACTTAACAAATCAGGGAATTTGAATCGAGCTATGATTTTATATTTAGCCCAACTAATGAAAACATTCCTACAAGCAGGTTCAGTATGTCGACACTACTTACGTCAGGTTCCCAGTATACACAAAACACGTGCATAATGTTTACATAAAATTGTATACATTACATGTATTTTTACATTAAAATATGATGTTTATTTATGCATTTTCGTAACAAAAATTACATTTCAAAATGCATATTGTTGATAAAATATAAATATACTTTAAAACATATGTTTGGAGAGAAATTTTTTGTTGATTTTCGCATATTTCAATAGTAAAACCTGTACTTTTTAAAAATAAAAATATACTTTGATAATGGAAAAAGGTAATTAAAGGGTGTATAATTCAAAAAATAGAACAAAACTACACAAAAATTAATTAGACATTTTAAAGCAGAAATATTAATTAATATGAAATGATTAAAAACAATTTCTTAATTTTTGATCAAACTGTGGTCATATTGAGGCTTATATCAGATGAATATGTGATTAAATGAATTATTTATATCTCCCAGCTATTGATTTAAAACATTACATTATTTAAAATTAAATAAATCATGTTAATTTCCTTCACTTACATACACGTCCGTTACACAATGTTGTCGGAACAAGCCTCCATTATTTTAGCTTACAATTGTATACATTTTTATAAATTATATAAATGTGCATTATAACTCACATGCTTTGTTATACCTCACACCTTTGTCATACCTGCCACCAGTGTAGCCTTGTGTATATTACATTCTTGGCTATCCGAGAAGAACCGCGTGTCGGGCGCGTCTCGTGTATATTACTCAATCCTGTAATGAGGACTTATTTAATTACTCTGTCATTAATGTCGTCCGCCGCAATCCTTATTATTTTCAAGTCTGTTACTGGCATTAGACGATTCCTCGAAGCTTCTCCCAGAGCTCGGGCTTTCCTGCATCTTGCTCGCCGCCACTTGCGCGTCCCGGCCGCCGCGGCTGGCGGAAGCTCGCCTGCGACCGTTGCAACACGTCCTAGAAAAAGAGTACCATAAAGCTTTAAGCAGCTGAGTAAAATCCACAAGATCTCATTTCACCATCGTTTCATCAAACATTGCTTGCGATTAACGGAGATTTTAATTATTTAATTAACTTATCTGTTTAAAAATACCCAATTGTAATCCCATGAAAATGCGTGTCTTATTGGCTGGCTCCCTTCCGTCGCGCGAATTCACCTCCCCGCTGCAGCGGCGGCCGCCGGCAGCATTCATCTGGAGAGCAAAGCCTCGCAACGTGCACACTCCGCCCCGCGTCAACATCAAATGGTACTCGCCTTCAGCCGTTTCAAATTCAGTGAACTAGTAAGTGTCTGTGTGACGAGCTTGCGAATTCTGTATTTGTAAACTGTAAGTCATAATATAATGTTTGTCTAATCAGCAAATTTCCGCTAATTAATCATGGTCAACTACGAGACTGTTGGGGCATGGGAGATTCACGCAGAACGTACATTCATTACAACTGCTTATCAGCTTGTAATTTAGGTTCCGTAACATGATTTTGCACAGGCAACATCTGCTCGTTAAGTATTCATTGGTGGAAGGTGAACTGCGATAATCACGCGAGTGTTGCCATGTTGCGCGTGACCCTCGGGTGTTACGTAACAGCCAAGCTGCACGCGACTCGTCTTCATCGGGCAATTTGTATTTCTCCAGATGTTCCTGTGTTTAATGTATGTTCATCAGTGTGCGTCTAACGATGAGAGCATTGTGCCACAGCGCCAGCCAGCTGTAATTTATTTGTGTTAAATGCGAAATCGCATGTAATTTATTTGTGTTCTAGTGTGCAATCTGTAAACATCGACTAATCGACGCGGCGACGATGGTGTAAAGTGGCGACGATGGTGTAACGGTTAGCGTACTGGACTGTTGTACCCAAGTTGGTGGGTTCAAACCCGATCGTACGCCTTCCTTCGGAGGGGAAGTAAAGCCGGCTGTTCCATGTTAGTAGATTTACTTGCATGTAAAAGATCCTCAAGCCTAAATGACGCCTCTGAGCTAAATTCAAATCGCCTGTTTCTCGCCCAAGAAATACCTCTTTTCTCTGCTAGTTGATGAAAAGAAGCGTAGCGAAATTTGTGTGGTCAGACGGAAGAGCGGGCCTGATGGCCCGAGTCTCGCCACGTAAAATAAGTCAAATTCAATTCAATTCAATCTGGTTCATTCTATTTCAATTCAAGCAGTTATTAATATATGTTTCAATTATTGTTGTTGTATCACTAGTAATTCTAAGCTGAGGAGAAATTCAAATGTGGTTGCCTTATTTTAAGTCATTATTTGCCACTGTTAATTAATTTGATTTGTGTTGAATAATTTTAACGTGATACTGAATGTTTTGAATTTTCAATATCAATTATTTTACTCAACTTTAAAATACTGTTCATCAGTTAATTCAACAACTGTTTGTATAGCTAATCAAAATATTGAATCATAAATCAGTCAATTATGTATCGGTTTTATTAATTTAATTATTTTCAAGTTAAAGGTGAATTTATGGTTTGAATTTCCTTTCACGGTGGTCCCAAGTCTACTTTCAGGAAGCTACTTTTACGGTAGGCATTTATGCTGGTGTCTGGACGATCTCAACTGTGCCAGTGATCCATCAAGAAAATAGTTAATAAGTTTAATAGAATAGGTAGTATACGGTATCAAGGTAAGTAGTGTGAGTGAGCCCTTCAGGTCACCAACTAGGGTTGCCACCTTGCCAATTCCAGAAAACCGGAGACCGCTGCGACCAG